AAAAAAAAAAAAAGAAAACAAAGCAGGAGGCCAAAGTTATCACTCTGATGGTTTTCAAAATATTCCATAAATGGCACATTGGAATGTGCAGATTAATTTCTATTTTTATGTGTTAAAGAACAATTTAAAATGAAATTTCAATCAAACATCTGTAGAATCCATGATTTTCTCTGAGAAACTATGATTTTGTAAAACATGGTATGAAAACCACTGCTGTAGGTTATAAACAATTTTTTTAAGGTATTGCTGAATGTAAAAACTCTGGTAAGATGATTCAAGCAGTTTTATAAAGGTGTAGTTTTCTGGTCTTATTTCTTAAATGTTCTGGACTCAGAAATAATTTGTTATTACTGGAGGATATATGATCTTATTGTCATATAGCCTTAGATTTGTATTTCCAGCCTTGCCAGTTATCAGCTGTGTGACACTGGGCAATTAATGCTTCTAAGCCTGTTTCCTCTTCTTAAAAATGAGACCTTGTGTTGGTCAACTGAGGGAATGTGTAGTGCCTAGTATATTGTTAAGATTCAACAAGCAGTAGCAACTATATGGTTCTCATCACTGTTACTTATATCAACCCTTACTAATGGTAGAAATCATAATAAAAAACCTGAAGGCATATAGTATAAATACTTATTAGTTGTGGGGTATTGAGTTTACCTACTATTTCAAAAATACACTTGAAAATCTTCAAGTCAGCATCTGAACTTGGGTTAAGAACTGAAAAATGAGAAGGTTGTTTTGTTTTTTACCACTTTCTTCTAGAATTAAGAAACCTCAGTTTAGTTGATACATTCTCAAAGATCATCTTTTTAAAAAGGTATTACTTTTGAAATTCTTTGTGCTTTATTGTTTTAGAAAGGTTGGTAACTGTGAAAATGGGGGCCAGATCCAGCTTTTTGCTTATTTTCATTTGTCTCATGGGCAGGTACCCTTTTGTGCGATGACTGCATGACAGGAGCAGTCCCAGGATGACAGTATTACTTCATGACTAGATCCTTGTCTCTGCACCAGAGGATTTGACATTTGTCAACTTCCTAAAGTAGAAAAATTAGGGAGCTTTTAACTTGTAATAATATATAAAATAACTACATAAAGTCCTTTCTTTGTAAGGTAAAAAGCAGAGAAGTCAGCCCTTTGCTGATGAAGCTACATCTATTTTATTTTTAAGCACTATTTGATTAATCATGAGTATCAGCAGAAGAGGAGACTACTCACCCTTTTTCTCTTCTTTTTCCCCACTCTTCTATGACTCTTTTATCCTTTTCTCTAATTTTGAAAATTACAGCATTGGTAGTAAAACGTACAAAATGAGTAAGAAAAATACTTATAAAATTTTAGATCATTATTGTCATATTGTCTTAAAATTCTTTTTTCCAGAATTTATTTATCAATTGGTAGGAGGAGGAGAAGGTTAATAGGGAAGGAAGAGTGAACGAAGACATCAGGTTTTCTATTTTGGATGACTGGGTGAATAGTGATACCATTCCCAAAATACTGATAGTAGAACAAGTTTTGTTGGGGAATACAATTAATTCAGTTGGGAATATGCTAGATTTGATTTACTTATAGAACAGTGTAAATATCTGTTAGAAGGTTTAATATTCAAAAAAGAGGTAAGGACAAAAGACATAGATTTGGGTGTCACAAGCATATGGGTAATAGTTGAGCTAAGGGATCTTGATAAAATTAGCCAGCTCAAAAAAAAAAAGTGAGAGGTTTAAAAAAGAGGGCTAAAGATGGGACCCTGAGATGAACCATTTACCAGAAAGCACAAAGAGGTAGCCATTGGAGTGCTGGGAAGCACAGGAAGAAGAGGCTATACAAAAGAAGCAGTTTCCAGGAAAGCACAGTGTCAGACGTCTCACAGGGTTGGAGAAATTGAAGATGGCTAGATGTGACTATTAGAAAATTACTTTTGATTATAACAGCTTTAGCAGGATATTGGAACACATACTGGATTGCAGAGTTAGAGGAGTGAATTTCAGTTAAAGAAATGCAGACTGTAGGATACTTGGTGGCACTGGGAAGCAGAGAGAGAGTGCAAAAGTGAGAGAGAATGGTAATGGTAAGGAAAGACACAATTCTTGAACGATTTTGTCAGTTAGGAAATTTAGGGATAGTTGTATCCAATGTAATGGGGTTGATTAAGGGTAGTAGGAAGAGAAGGCAGTAACCAGTGGAATCAGAGTTCACAGTTATCATGTCAGGACACATCTTACCTTGCTAAAGAGTTATTGAGCGTTACGTTTTCATACTGGTAGGCTATAGCTACGTATTACCAATGTTTGTATTTCACTCTTGTGTTTATAATGTTGCTGTTGTCCTACAACCTTGTTCACCATTCCTAACACACTAACGGGTGCTATTAGTGGTTTATGTTTCTAACGTATTTGTGTGATTATACTGGAGATTACATTTATTTCAACAGGTGTTTCTTATGGACAAAGCAATAGTGACATTGAAGCTCTACATCAGGCTTATTGTCAGGTAGCCCAGTCTTTGGGAGATACAGATGAACAAAGGATTGAGAGTAATGCATTGGAAAATATCAAGAGCTCAGTGAAAGATTATCCTCAAGAAAATGAAGAGTCCTCTAAAAACATCTCTACTACAGAATCTGGTAAAAGTTCATTTGAGACCCTCTCTGAAGAGTTTCTCTTGTGGTATAATTTAAATAGTTTGCTATAGTGATTGTTTCTCAATCTCTGAATTTAATTTAAAAGGTTTGCTGAAATGAAATTTGGGAATCAGTAGTTTAACTATAAAGTTAGAGCTGAACACAAGATAAAATTTCACTTCCTCTTTCAGTATGCCTTGACCAAATCAGAAAATCACCTAAGTGTTTGCACATTTTTTATGCTTTTCCTTATGCATATACTAAAGTAATTTTTTAAATAGAGAATAGTATTTGAGGATCAACTAAATAATATATTTAACAAATGTGTGTGCATGTATGGACATACCCATACGCATATATTTGATATTGATGTAGATGGATACATCAAATATATAGATATATATATTTCAAATATAAAAATCAAAGGAGATTTTCTTGGTACAAGTAAGTTTATAGTGGGAAACTGGGTTTACTGTATATATCATTTTGTTAGTTCTGTTGGTCAGAAAAAAATGTAATCTTAGTGGGATTAGACATTAAATTAAGCAATTCACATAATTTCAGGGGTCGCTATTTTAACTTTTTTTCCCTCTTAGATCTGCCCACGGTAGAGGAGTTGATGAAACCTATCAGAATAGATTCTTTTGGTGTCAGTGGTTTTGATTTACAACCTGTCAGGTATGAGATGTTTTGGAATGGATTATACAGATTGTTTATTGCTTATTGTTTTACTACTGGAAACTTTTAGAATCATTTGTTCTGCGTGCTCATTCCTAGTGAATGATTTAACGAGTAGCTTATATGAATCTACTTTTGAGTCACTGCTCTCCTTATTAGTAGTTCTTACTCAGCTTATCAAAATTCTTCTAGTGCTAAAATTAAAAAATACTTTAAAAATAGATGCCACTAAAAAAACGTTTGCTGCCATCAAGTATTCTGAAGGCTTTTTTACTGAAAACTAAAATCCTTTCAGCTTTAAATAGCTCAGGGCAGTTGATTTGAATTCTATTCTGTATGAGTCATAGATTTGCTTATTTATAAACCAGTTAGCTTTGTACTTAGTCACAGACCAGCCATCGTTTTTCAGGGTAAGATTTTTGGTCACAGGAGCAGTGGGCTTCATGAAAATGCACCAGCGCCAGTACATCTTAATGGAAGCTTGTGGGACCTTCCTGTCATTCTCCAGCACAGAGTAGCACGTTACAGTAACCTTGCATTTGTGTCACATCTATTAGAGTGTCACATCCATCATTTCATATGATCCTCGTAACAAATAGGTCAGGCATCTTTATTCGCATCATTCAGGTGTTGGAACTGAGGTAAATCAGTTTAGTAGTGGAGCTCTCACAAGAACCAGGTCATGAAGATGATGGTGGTGGCAGTGGTGGTGATGATAATAATGATAACAGCTGACGTTTTTATCACACGCTTACTGTGTGTGCAAAGTTCTTTACATCTTTGCATTTTAGATTTCTTTTAATCTTACAGCAACTCTATGAGTTATATTTTATTATTATCCCCATTGCATAGATAAGGAAACTGAGGCTTAAAGAAGTTAAATAAATTGCCCAAGATCGTATGGTTATGTAGGGGTGTCTGGGTGGCTTTGTGGGTTAAGTGTCCGACTCTTGATTTCAGCTCAGGTCATGATCTTCTGGTTTGCGAGAAGTTGGGCTCTGCACTGAGAGCATGAAGCCTGTTTGGGATTCTCTCTCTCCCTTTGTCTCTGCCCCTCACTCAATCACATGCGTGCTCTCTCTCTCTCTCTCTCTCTCTCTCTCTCTCTGCCTCTCTCTCTCAAAATAAATAAACTTGAAAGAAAAACAAAGATCATGTGGTTATAACCAGGAAACACAAGAAATCTTTGTGTGTTTTAACAACTTACATTGTCAGATCTCTGATCTCCATGAAATATTTCTGTGAAAAGCCTGTCATCCATTCCTGTATTTATTTGTTCATTTGTGTTTTCAGCAGACACAGTTTGAGCCCTTCCTTGTACTACATCCTCATCATGTAAATCCACTTGTAGTGATTTCTTATCCTGTTTCTGCGTTTGTGCTAGTTGAGAGAAAGTGACACAATGAAGCTTACACTAAAACCCATCTACTTGAATGCTTAGTATTCTCCCACTGATCTGCAGCACTAGATAGTATTTTTTAAAGGGCAGACTATTCTCCCTTACTGCTGTTTGGGACTGTGTTGGTGTTAATGAAGAGATTTTTTTACACATCTTGTGTGTTTGCTGGCATAGGTGGAATCATTTTACTACTGTAAATTCTAAATATAATTTTTTTCGTTTTTGTTTAAAAGCTAAAAACAAGTATACTTACATTAAAGCCATAACAATAATTACCAAAATGTCAGTGGTATAAACTAGTACACATATCTGAAACCTCTTTAGTAAACTGTAAATAATCTCAGCTGATATAGCAAATAAGTCCTTAAAATTTTAGTAGCTAAACATCATCGAAAATGTATTTTTTGCTCGTGTCATAATCCCATGTGTGTCAGTGGGGTTGGAGTAGGACTCTACTCCACATAGTCATTTAGGGACCCAGGCTACTTTGTCATTAACACATGGTTTTAAGGTTGTCATGGCCTCATTCAACCAGTTGATAAAGAAAAAAGATAATTTAGCACAATTCTTTTTAGCTGCCTCAACAGAGAAATATTACATCACTTCATATTCTACTGGTAATAACCAGCACATCTAGCAAATTGGGTCCAAGAGGGCTGGGAAATATGATCTGCTTGTGTGCTCAGAAAGAGAAGTAAATGAGTTTATTAGGCATCTAATTAGTCTCTACGAGAATCTGCCCTTTTAGTAGCCAAATATCCATTTTACTCACCTTCATACAAAGACCCACTATCCCCTCCCCAAAGCAAATAGCCCAAAGTCTCATACAGGACCCTGTCCATCTAAAAGGCCAGGATTTTCAGGTGGAGCATAGTCTTCTCCATCAGGTTTGAATGCAGCTCTTCAGTGTCTACTAATCTGTGAATTAAAAGCACAAGTTCTGTACTTGATCCAATATATGATGGCGAAACTGCAACAAATACTCCCATTCAGAAGGGAAATATATGAGGAAAATACAGCAATCAGTAATGCAACCTTGAAGTCCACTGGAAACGCCTTGTAAGGATATTTACACCCTTGGCCACAACTGAAGTCGGTTTTGCAGGGAGGCTGTGCCCATCTTGGAGGATGCATTCCTTTTTTAGTCCACCTCCTACCACCAGGTGGTTTTAGGTCTCCCAAACAAATCTCTGGCTTTTTTTTTTTTTTTTTTTTTTTTTTTTTTTTTAATGTATGGTTGTAGTTTCTTTATTATTATAGTTTGTTCAAAAAGTTTAGTGGGTGGTGAGGGGTGGGGCGCCTGGGTGGCTCAGTCGGTTAAGTGTCTGACTTTAGCTCAGGTCATGATCTCACAGTTTGAGTTAGAGCCCCGAATCGGGCTCTGTGCTGACAGCTTAGAACCTGGAGCCTACTTCAGATTCTGCCTCCCTCTCTGTACCCCTTCCCTGCTCATGCTCTCTCTCTCTCTCTCAAAAATAAACATTAAAAAAAAGTCTTAAAAAATAAATTTAGTAGAGCTTCTGATCTATTTGGTTCCAGTCAGTCCCTTGTGCCAGTAACTACACTTAATTTTCTAGACAGAGGCTTTAAATCTGCTTTAAGTCTTTGCTTTTTTTGCCCCCCTTTTTTTCCTGTCAATTCAGTCGCAGCTGTTTGGATATTATTGGGAACAATAACCTTAAGTGAAGATGACCCCTTTAATATGATCTTTGTCAAAGGACTGAGTAACTCTTTTCAACTGAGAAGTCTCATGAAATCCTGCATTTTTCAATGCCAAATCTTACTCTTTTGAGTCTATGCTCTTTACAAAGTGAATCTATGAGGCCCTTAATTTCTCGACTCTCTCTGTTCCCTTTTATTTTTTCTTACAAACTGGCCCTTTTTAAATCTGAGCTCATGTCTTTCTTATAATATCTAGTCAAACGTAGCCAACAGTAGCTAGCGCTTAGAAATTCTCCTGCTATTTTTCTTAGTATCCCAGACTCAGTAGCTATGTGATCTGTCTTAGAAACTATTGTAGGTAACAGTTTGGCAAATGTTTTGTCAGTGTAAAACATGGGTTGCCACTTCTCCAGCTTTTAGCATAAGTTTCCTTGCCACCCCAAACCCAGCCACTAAGCCAATGACACATATCTTAGGTTCTTGTCACCATAGCGCTCATGTTCTAAAGGCAAGAACTAGTAAGCGGCCCCAGCTAGATGCAGGATGGCAAGGAAACATAATTTAGTTAGTATGCAGGAAGAACAGGAAACAGTTTTGATAACTTCTAGCCAGATTCTGCTACCATGAAGAAGGAAAGAACTATTATATTTTCTGATGATTCCAATTACTTTAGAAAATTCTCACAATTACTGAGAAACCGATCTATCTCATATGAAAATAGTAGCCTCTTAAACTTTATTTTATAAATGACATTATCTTATAAATTATAAAATTAAATGACCTAATAGACCATGATTATGTAGTTTGAAAATAACAATATCCCTATTTTTGGAGCCCCTATAATATACTGATATTTAACCACATTTAGAAAATGTCCTTAAGGGATATTTTCTCTATTTTAAAAATTGAATGGTCTGAAATGTTGCATTGTATTTAATTATTTTAAACCACAGAAATGATTTTTCTCTAAATACTAGTGATTTTCATGTTTTACTTAAAAATTTTTCCTATACTGTGATGAAATTTATGCTTTTTAATATTTATATTCTATTTCTCACTGACATAAATTATGATTACTTCTTTAGTTTCTTGTAAAAATGTGTAAAATCTTTTTCCTGCCTCAAATACATGTTGACTTTATAAGGTATTATGGATAAATGATATATTACACAAAGGTCATTTAGAGATTCATTTTTTATTTTTTCTTACACTAAAACCATCTCAGTCTTGTTTTGTTTGGCTTTCCTTTGAAGTAGGTCTCAGAGTTATCCATGTAATTCTTTATATTATACTGCATTAAAATTACATTATCTGAAATTTAAAACAGTTATATGACACTATGTGAGCATACTCTGCTAGCCAGAATTACAAATAATGTATTTAACATTCAGGACATAATTTGAATAGTTATAAATATCAAATGTATTTAATATTATGTATAAATAACATTATACATATTAAAATATAAATCTTATATTTTGTGTGTGTATATGTGATATATATAGTGTGTGTATATGTATATATGTGTGTGTGTGTGTGTGTGTGTGTGTGTATAAAACTGGTATTTGAGGAGTCACCTAAGGTTCATGCTCTGTTTTGTTTTATAGCTATAAGAAACTGGCTGATAGTAAAGAAACTGAATTTGTTAGCCCTATACCCCTTAAGAGGAACCCAAATATTATATCTCAAGAACCACAAAATGTAAACCAACTTTTTGACAAAAATGAAGAGAATGTGGTTTTACAAAAGACAACAAATAAAGATAGAGAAAATAGCTGTCTAGGAGTAAATGCTACGGAAGAACACGTAGATAAAATGTACCTTGATATTTTGAGGAAAAAAATATCTGTTGGTCCTCCATTATTGCCTCCGGATGACAAAGTAAATAAAGTAAGTGTTTATAATCTAAGTTGATTAGACATATTGAGAAGTGAGGTTATGTAAATACTATTGATAAGTAGGTACTTCTTAAGCTGGTGGGACTGATTACATACTAATCTCCACATAGATCCTGGATATTTGTGAGCAGTATTTATTACAACATCCTATAATCCCCAAATTGTAAAATACCACTATCTAGCATTCACTTTCTTTTGGAAGCCATTATTTACATTCTTCCTTTGTTTTTAGTAAGCATAGTCTAGAATTTGAGTAGCATAAGAAAATAAAGTTTATTCATCATTCTAATGCTTTTTATTTAATCTATCCAGTAGTGTGTATTTTGCAAAAGTAGATAAGTTGTCATTTACAAAAATGCTATCAGCAGCTGTTGAGAAAGTTATATTTTACTGCTCCATTTTCTTCTCTTCTTGATCTATTCTGATTTATAGTTTCTTTGATCTTGGTATTGTAGTTTTATGGTTTTGAGTTATATGTTTACCATAAACCATCTGAAGTTTTTTGTGGAATAAGGCAGGGTATTAATAAATTTTTATCTTGAGAATTCTAGGGAAAAAAGATAAAATTTTATGTTATTTCAAAATATATTCCTCTCTGCTTTCCTCCATCTTAATTCTAGTAATGACACGTCTTGCTTTCTGGCAAGCTTATTTTGTTTTATTCTTTTGCTTTGTTTTACTCCTGACTTTGAAGATGTGCTTCAAAATATTAAAATTCTGATGAGTGAGACTTTGAGAATTCTAATATGTAGTGGTTTGTCTTCTACAAACTATTATCTAGTAATCACTATGGTTTGCCATCTGTTAAATCTCCATTCACAGCTGTAGTTGAGGTTAATTTATATATCCTAAACAGTTTCTACTTGCGTGCAGACTTTTAGATCTCAACTCAGTTCTGGCGAAGAAGGGGCTGTAACTGGTAAACATGAACCACACAAGAAGGCCAGAAGTGCACCTCCTGTACTTAAAAGAAAACCCCAGAGTGGATTATATGCATCAGTTAGGAGCTCAGGCTATGGCAAACCCAGTTCACCATTCAAGTCTTTTTCTACTCTTGAAAAGAAAACTTCAAAGGACATTATGAAAAGTAAAACTGTGAGACCCATTCCTACTTCAAATCAAGCTAGGAAAAAAGGTAATCATATGCTCTTTTCATATTATAGTTCTGTGCATATAGTGTATTATTTTATGGTCCTTGTTCTCTACGTTTCCTATTTATTTCTCTCCTTCTGTGAACTTTTCTTCTTATAAAAAAAATTAATATTCAGATAGTATATTCCATTCTGAAAGATTCATTAGATTTTGGCTTTCCAGAATGACACTTGTGAAGTATGGGAAATGAATAGACGATAGGAGAGTCAAACTTAACCTCATCTGGTTGACTTTGGAATATCCGTTGTTTACCAGAGAAGACCTACAAATTCAGAATGCAAATGGCAAGCTACAAATGAAGGTTGATATAGAGATTATTTGGATATTAGTTTCATATAGGCTGAGATAGGCAGGATGTTTTATATATCACATAATGCGTATTTTTATATATTGCAGTGCCTCTGTTATTTCCTAATGCAGTTCATTTACATTGACAGTAGGAAAGGGTAATTTTCAATTTAGAAGTCTATGCAGCTATTAAAAGAAACAGAAATGTTCATATCAAACCAACATTTCTGCTGCCTTTAAACTCCACTGAGGGGGGCACCTGGGTAGCTCAGTCGATTGAGCGTCTGACTTTGGCCCAGGTTATGATCTTACAGCTAGTGAGTTCGAGCCCCACATCAGGCTCTGTGCTGACAGCTCAGAGCCTGGAGCCTGCTTTGGATTCTGTGTCTCCCTCTCTCTCTGCCCCAACCCACTCGCATTCTGTCTCTCTCAAAAATAAATAAACATTAAAAAAATAAAGAAAAAAAAACTCCAGTGAGGAAGGGGGAGCAATGGAGCCAGAAGCATTTCATCCTTTCCTTTATGATTAAATGTAATAGGTGACCAGTTTCATCATTGTTATATGGTGATAGTTGTCATGAGGAGAATTGTACTCACTGGAAAATTCATTTCTAGCTTAAAATGTCTTTCTTTGCTTTTCCCTAAGACTATTAATTCCAGGACCACTTTGACTGTGTTTTAAATTCTTGAGGCATTAAATAGACTCTCTCCTGCCTTTGCATTTGTATGCCTTTGTATGTATTTGCTGCAGCAGCCTGTGCATCTCAGATGGAAAAGAAGGCCTGGGCTGATTTATGTGAGAGTAAAGGAGAAAACAGCAGCAGGAAGTAGTTATTCTGGACAGACAGGAATATGATTCTGTAGGATTAATGCAAGCATCCTTTCCTCCTGTTCTTAACCTGTGGACCTCCAGTTCCTTTCCCTACAAGGTCTTTTGTATTCTCTTATTTTCCTGTGGAACACCAACTTGTGACGTTGTCATCTACTTGTCACTAATTAACCATTCATTGGAACTAGTGCTTAATATTAAAAAAATAAACACTTGGGACATTTTTCAAATTTTAGTATGATCAAGAGAAGAATGAAAATTTTTCATTGATGTTTAGGAGTATTCATGCTAATTTTGTTTTTAGTATTATTTATTCTATTATATTTATTTTAGATATATTAATCCCCAACATTTTTGAAGTTTATTTTATCCAGATTCATTCATTTAACAAATGTTTTTGGAGCACCTGCTTTGGCCCAGGCACTATTAGGCCCTTGGGCTACCTCAGTGAGGGGCTACCTCACTTCCCCTCCCCCATCTTTGTGGAACTTTCATCTGATAAGGAGAGACATTTAACAGTAAGCATAATAAATAAGTAAATGATGTTACATGCTAAGGAAAAGTAAAAAGTAGAGGAAGTGTCAGTGGTGGAGTGCAGCAGTTCACAGCTTTAAATAGGATAGAGTAGGGGCGCCTGGGTGGCACAGTCGGTTAAGCGTCCGACTTCAGCCAGGTCACAATCTCGCGGTCCGTGAGTTCGAGCCCCGCGTCAGGCTCTGGGCTGATGGCTCGGAGCCTGGAGCCTATTTCCGATTCTGTGTCTCCCTCTCTCTCTGCCCCTCCCCCGTTCATGCTCTGTCTCTCTCTGTCCCAAAAATAAATAAAACACATTGAAAAAAAAAAATTAAAAAAAATAAAAAATAAATAGGATAGAGTAGGCCTCATTGAGAAGGAGCCACTGAACAAAGACTTGTAGGAGATAAGAGTATTGGCCATGTGGATACCTGGGGAATCATATTCCAGAAAGGTGAAATAACCATGCAGAAGTCTTAAAGTAGAAAAGAATATCTGGCATGTTTAAGGAACAGCATAGAAGCTTGTATCATGAGGGCAGAGTGAGTAAAGAGGGTAGTAGGAGATGAGATCAGAGAATCAAAAGTGCTGGAATGTATCAGTTTTTCTAGGGCATTTTAAAGACTTAGATTTTACGCTGAGTAAACAGGTGAGCCGCTGAAAAGCTTTGACATGGGAGTAACCTCATCTGACCTCTTTAGACAGATTTCTCTGGCAGTTGTGTTAAAGATCATATACATATAAATACATTCACATAGCATACGGGGCATGGGAAGAAGGACAGAAACCAGTGAGATGGTGATTTTAGGAATCTAGGCTAGAAGTGATGGGGCTCAAACCAGAGTGGTGGCAGTGGAGGTAATGAGAAGTGGTTGAATAAGGATATATTTAGAAGGTAGAACCAAAGGGCCACCTTTGAATAAGGATATATTTAGAAGGTAGAACCAAAGGGCCACCTGGGTGGCTTAGTCGGTTAAGCATCCGACTTCAGCTCAGGTCATGATCTCATGGCTCATGGGTTCGAGCCCCACATCGAGCTCTGTGCTGACAGCTCAGAGCCTGGAGTCTGCTTCAGATTCTGTGTCTCCCTCTCTCTCTGCTCCTCCTCCGCTCATGTTCTGTCTCTCAAAAATAAATAAACATTAAAAAAAAGTAAAAACAAAAAGAAGATAGAACCAAAAATCTAAAAGATTGGTTTGGGGTTGTGAAAGAGGATTTCTGAATGATGCCAAAATTTTTGGCTTGAGTAGCTGGAAAAATAGAGTCACTGTCCAGCTGGGATGGAGAAGGCTTTGGTAGAGTAGATTTGGGGGTGGAAGGAAGATCAAGAGTATAGTTGATGAGGTGATAATTTTGAAATGATCGTTCTGTATGCAAGTGGAGACAACAAGGAGCCAATTAGATTGAAAAGTCTAGACTATAAGAGGGAGGTGTGGACAGCAGATATGACTTGGGAGTTATTATTAAAACTAATATAGGTAGTTTTTAAAACATGAGACTGACAAAGATTATCAAGAGAGTGAGCATAGCTAGAGAAAAAAGCAAACCAAGGCCTAAGGAGTAACCTACAAAGAGAATAGAGTGAGATTGGAGGAAACCTGAATATGTGGGATCCTGAAAGCTAACTGAAGAAAGGAGAATTTATTTCTCTATCAGTTGCTGCTGAGAGATAAAGGAAAGTAGAAACTGGGCACCGACCCTTGGGTTTAGCAAGGAGGAGGTCATCAGTAAACTGGACAGTTTCCATGGATATGTGGCTATAAAATGCAAGTTGAATGAGAATAGGAGGGATTAGGAGAAATGGAATTGGGTACTTAATTTATAGACCACCCTGGAGCACAGCGTGTAGCTGGCATGGGAGGTGGAGTCAAGAAAAGCTTTTTGTTGTGCTTTTTTTTTAAGTGGCTGAAATAATAGTATGTCTAATAGTATGTTTATGCTTTTTGGAAAGATTGAGTAATTTATGGTAGAGGGAAAGAATTGCTACAATAATGTCCTTGAGTAGAGGAGCTATAAGCAAATCTACTGTTCAGTGGAAGGGTTGGCTCTAGATAGAGGCATGGACAGTTTATCTGTGGAAACAGATGGGAAGAGAGAAATGTAGGTACAGATACTGGTGGGTAGGTAGAAATGGTGAAAGAATATGGATGATTTCTTCTGATTGCTTCCATTTTCTCTAAGAAATAAAACATAATATCATTAGCTGGCATTGAGGATGGGGTAGGAGTGTTGGAGGAGAGAAGAGAAGATGGGAAATAGCCATCCTGAAGGACTACAGTGCCAGCAGCAGAGTTCTCTTGTAGTTAGTGATTATGCATTTAAGTTGAATCAGGCAGCATGTTTGTGTGTGTGAGTGTGTGTGTCCACATTTTGCTGCATGACTACAGGTGTTGGATAATTGTATAGTTGGATTTATCAAGAAGAGTGGTTTCTGCCAAATGAGTGCAGTGTATGGAGAGAGGAGTAAGAAGGGAGCTTAATGGTGTATGTGGAATTCAGGTTGAGTAAGGAAGGAAGAAAGGAAATCGAGGGGTGTAGTACAGTATGAAACAGGTAGGATCAACTGACTGTGAGTCCTTGAGTAGAGGAGCTGTCATGGAATCTAGTAATTGGTCAAGGGATTGTTGGAATCCAGGTACCAGAGGGCATGAAGTGGAAGATAAGAGTGATAGTAAATGCCTAACACTGAGATCAGGAGTGATTATGTTACTGGTAATAGAAAAGGTCTAGACTGTACCAATGGAAGCAAATAGCTGAGGTGGAGAAGTGGAGTATAATGACCCAAAAGCCAGGGTTTGAAAGGATCACCTATGAGTGTATTGAAATTACTAAGAATGGGGGTGCCTGGGTGGCTCAGTTGGTTGAGCGTCCGACTTCAGCTCAGGTCATGATCTCACGGTTTGTGAGTTTGAGCCCCGTGTCGGGCTCTGTGCTGACAGCTCGGAACCTGAAGCCTGCTGAGGATTCTGTGTCTCCCTCTCTCTCTGTGCATCCCTTACTAGGACTCTGTCTGTCTCTAAAATATAGAAATAAAAAAAATAAAAAGTTTAAAAAAAATTTAAAAAAATTACTAAGAATGAAGACAGAAGTAATGTCACAGTTGATGGAAAAGAAACGAGGGGCATGCTTTAGAGGTTGATAGATGAAGACAACAATATTTTTATGAGTATTTTTTCCTGTTTTAAAATTTTATAGTCTTTGTGACTATCAAAATAGAAGTAAAACACTAAAATTTATATTAGAGTACAATGATAAACCATGACTGTCCATTTTTAAACTGTTTTTCATTAGACCATTAAGTGTAATATCTTTTTTATCTCTTTTTCTTGTAAAATTCCCTCAGAGAAATTTTACTTTTATTCAGAAGAATTTTAATTCTTTTGGATGGTTGTTACTTGTCACAGGTTGGGCTTTCCAACAAGCAGACTCCGAGATAGATATTAGTGTACAGAAAATGCATTTTCTAACTGAGCTTAGAATCAATATTGATTAAGATGAAAAATGAGCCAGCTGCTGAGGCTTACTCAGAATTTCTCTTTTTCACGTAAAATGAAGTCAGGGATAGGCCGTTCAGAGCTAGGGCCACTGTGCAAGGAACAGATCCCTTTTCTTTCCTGCTGCAGAATACTTTATATGTGACTTTTGTCTTCATTGTCATAAGATGGCTATTCAGCCTCCATGCCCTGTCAGGAGGAAAGGTGAAAGGTAAAAGGTTCATGCCAGTTAAATCAACTTCTTTTTTTTTTTTTTCTTTTTTTTTTTTTTTTTAAATTAACTTCTTAATCAGGAAAATAGTGTCTTTTCTGAAAGCCCCAGGTAAGGAACTTTTGGTTTCATCTTATTAGCCTGAAGTTTGATCTTGTGGTCACCCCCAGTTACTTGGAGTCCAGGGAGATGAGTATTTTCAACTGGCTACATTGCTGCTTGGGCAAAATTAATAAGGAAGTTTCTAATTAATAGGGAGGAAGAGGAGATTGGCAATTAGCAGTGCCTGCTATGTGGTTGTTATCCTTTTTATTTTAAATTAATTTTCTTTGGCTGTTAATCTATGTTTTTATTTTTAGACTAATAAGTTTCTTGTTACAAAAAGAATAGTTGCTCATTTTTTAAATTCAAAAATACATAAAAGTAAAGCAATTGCTTAGCAAGAAACAACTAGTGTCACACTGGGTTAGCATCATTTCATGCTTCTCATGTGTATACATGTGAAGCATCATTTCATGCTTCTCATGTGTATATCTGTATCATGTATACAGATAGAAGGAAGCGTAGATGGGTGGATGGAAGGAGAGAGGCAGACATAGCTAAATGGACAAAACATTTTATAAGAATAGGATCACTCTTCATAAGTTCTTTTTAAATAAAATATTAAATTTAGTTTTTCTTAAATCTGTAAGAAGAAAATGAAACTTCATCTAGGAAATAGATCTCAAAAGATCCCTTTAAGAAAATAAATTTTGAAAACTACTCAAATGTTGCCAAAATCATGCTGTTTTTAACTACATTTTCAATTTTATGCATTATCAGTTTCCCCTTCTATGAAATGTAAGATAGTAAAACTCTTACATCTCCCACTCACATGCCTTTTACTCATTTTTGTTGATTTCATTTTTACTTGTCCAAAATGTATTTAGTCTCTCCTGCAACCCCCTCAGCTTTGGAATTTAGATCTTGGTTCTGGTTATTAAAGAGATGGAATGCTTTTCACAGGTCCCTTAGCCATAGCTTCTTCATTCTGGAATTATGATGATTGGTTTCTTATTTGACTAAATTTTCTTAATCCATTGTTTTTTTTCAAGAAAGGTTCATAAAGTCCAAATTCTGCAGCGTTTTCACATTTGACTTTTATATCCAGGCAGATTTTCTCTCATATGTGAAGAAAAAATATACTGTGTACCATTACTGAAAATAATAACTTAGAGAAATCATAATTAAGAACTCAGGAAGAGAGAATTCTGGTATAAAAGCACTGGCTGACTACAACTTGACTAAGAACCACCTGCCACTCTTAGCTGCCACTTCCTAGGGAGAATGACAGTCCTAGCAGATCACTCCCCATTCATTGGCCACGTTAATGGACCTCCAGTGACCTGGAAAGATGAATGCCAGCTTTCACAATGACTCAGTTTCTTTGGGAACACTTCAGGAAATTTCTCCAAAAAAACCTTTTACATCAGATAGTCCAATTAAATATGACTAGTGCTCTGTAAGGAAAACCTCTGCATGCCTGGAAAAAAGATGAGAAAGAAATCTTTGGGTGAGGTGCTATTGGTGACTTGTTTCTTCTTTTGACTCTTCTATATTTTCCAAATCTTCAATAACCATGTATTTCGCTTTTAATGAAAATGTAAATTTTACACTTAAAAAGTTAGCACCTTGAAGAAATTATATTTGAAAATATAAATTTCAAATTCTTCATTTACCTCTAAGATAAATAAATGTTTACTGACTCTTGAGCTCAGAACCTGTAGTATTTGAATATGGGCCTCAAGATCTCTTCCAGGTATTTGTCATAAATGTTTTTATTATTATTATTAATTGAATAACTTATTGGCCTTAGGATTATTCATACTGTTTGGGGATTTATGAAGTACCTTAAAATAGCTGAAAATTTGACTAGAATATACATTTATCACATTTTTTTCTAATGTAATATATATCATCAGGGTTTTATAGCAGTATAATAATTTTATTTTTTAATCAAATTTAGACTAGCTGTTATAAAGTTGCCATGCAATTTATATTATTCCATTGATCCTATATCTTGATACACACTATTTATGAAAAGTGTGCTTTGAGAGCACACTTAATCTGAACTAAAATGCTTTATAACGTTATCAGCTGCTCTTTGATTCGTCATTTAGATATTATTATTGCTGTGAATATTTAAAAGGATAGTTTACTTAAAATTAAAATTAGTAAGGCCTGAAATTATCCCTGTCCACATTCTTCTCACATTTTTTAACTCCATTTATCATTTGACGTGAATCTTGGGTCAGTTAGCCTTCTCTGTCAAATTGAGTGAAATGTTGATTATGGGCATCCGTGAGCACGTAGTGAAACAGCTGTGTTCTAGTGTTATACCTCAGCCTATTTTGAGATCCTCATTTATGTTAGTGTTCCCATTGTATTAGTATTTGTTGTTACATAATTGCTGAATAAACATTCAACTTTGTTTGCATTTGTGGTGCTTTTGTCTATTGTTTACAATATTCAGAAATCTTATCTGAAACAAAAGTCATCAAGCCTGCAGCTCTGGGTAAACCAGCTCCCAAAATTGAAAATTGCCTGGCCACCCCTAAGAAGGCTGAAGATTCTACAGAAACCGATTACGGTGTTCAGTTTCAGAATGTAGGTATTGAATTTCAAAATCACATTCATAATTTTTTTCTGTTCTGTAATATTAAAACTCAAGTATAAGTAATATGTGAAATTTCTTTTGCATCAAGTGTGATGTTCTAATCTTACTGAACATTTATTGATTTCCTTATATAGTAGAACATTGTTAACCATGTCATTTTTATTCATTGTGGGTTTTTTTTCCCAACCACCTATGTTCAAATCTACTATGTAAATATACTATAATGAAGTGATGCTTCTCCTTAAAAGGATTCTTCAGGATACTGTGGTGGGAACAAGGAGACAGAGTTACTTATGTTTAAAAGAGTTCAGGAAGCAGAGGAAAAATGGAGGGGTGCACAAGCCCTAATTGAGCAAATTAAAGTTACATTCTCAGAAAAAGAGAGAGAGCTGGAAAATAAGATGGAAGAACTAAGGAGACAACAGGAAAAGGAACTCTTCAGACTAAATCAAGATAATTATATTCTTCAAGCCAAGGTACTAGACACATTGTCCTATTTCTCCTTTCATTGATTTAAAAAAAAAAAAAAAAACTTTCACTCCCTGCAAAATGCATTGTCATCCTTTGTTCCTGTGGCTGTTTGACTTGCTGTATTTGCTGTATGAAATATGAACAGGGTTCTGAAGACTGCCTCCTCACAGCAGAGCCTAAATCAAACCCAATGGAGGAAAAAAATCAAAATTTAAATTGGCCCATTTTGATAATTTTCTTCTGTTAGCAGTCCTTTCTGAGAACAAATCCCTTAGTTCACTCTGATCTTCAAAGAAGATGGTTTCAGAAAGAACTGCTGTGGAAGGGCCTAGATTCAGAGAATGACACTGTAGCATTCCTGAGTTACTTTCATCACCAGAACCATCAGCATAAAACATCGCTAATGATTTAACTGTAGTGTTATTCCATTGTGGTTATGGGACAGTTTTATATATATATGCACCTTGAGTTTTCTGTTATTCTTCCTTATTTCTCATTTCATCATTTCCTTACTTAAATAAAACGTCTGTTTTCTCAAAGTTGAGTAGCTTTGAAGAAACAAACAAAAAGCAAAGATGGTTACATTTTGGAGAAACAGCTGATCCTGTCACTGAAGAAAAATTGAAGCAAATTCAAAAAGAAATACAAGAACAAGAGACACTTCTTCAAGGATATCAACAAGTATGGTGATTCTTCAGCACTTTGTGAATTTGTTCTTGAGATCCTTTAATTGTAAAAATAAGGCATATTAAAAAATGTGCTCCTCTAGCAGGTAATAGGAATTCTGGCAAATATGAGGAAATAGTAATTTGACTAGTCTGAACATTTTTAATGGGTGTAATTAAAGTGGTTAAGAGCATGGGTTCTGGATTCAAAGAATCCTGTGTTAGTCTTTGCCCCACCACCTGCTGTGCTGCCTTGGGCAAATCACTTCACCTCTCTAAGCCGGTTTCCTCATCCTTGAAATGAGATGGTAATAATAATAGCTGCCTCATGATGGTTGTGAAATTAAAATAAGAAAGTGTAAACCAACCTGTTAGTACCTGGCACATTAGGTACTAACCAGTTAGTGAATGTCACCTGTTACTATTTTTAATAGCCATATTCCTTAGAAACTGCCCTGTTTTTCTTTAGTTTTGTGTAATGCTTTTCACTGGATTGTATTGACTAGTTTTGGTATTCTATTCAAAAATACAAATCTGAAATTAATTGCCGGTGTGCCAAGAATGAAAAAATTTGAATTAAATGAGAGAAAATCTGTGTGTCCTACAGAGGGCAGATACTTGCCATATGTGATGGAATCTTGGTGATGTTGACTAAGCCAGTCAGCCAGGACAGGTTTAGTGATCTCCAGCATAAAACTTCATCTTAGTTTCCTCCTTTTCCCCTTACTTTCCTCCCCTTCTCTTTCATTACCTTTTTCTCTTTTGACCTTTAAGCATCAAGCCTGTCAATAACAAGCATTGTCATCAGAGGACATCCAGAGAAAGCATTGTCACAACTTTTCCTATAAATGAATACTGGTTTCAGAGGACACACTGCCCTAGAGTTAGAACCTTCCAAATCCTTCACCTGCCATTCTGATCTTGCTGTGTAGAGCACACATTTTTAAGGAGGATTTCACAGACCCAGAAGGATGCCAACTAGCTTCTCCCACAAAGATAACACAAAACTTTGTATCTATGTACATTAAATTGCAGGTATTCAGGCACAGACCATCTACCAGGCACCAGGCCAGACATGGTGAGAGAGTCCGTGGTTTTTATTAGATCCTCAAAGGTCATTGGTTTTCATAGGATTCTTAATTTTAAAAAGGGTTAATAAGCCACAGCACCTAAGCACCTAAGCACAGATTGGTACTTTCTCCTTCTGATCTCACTGTTTGAGTCACTCTTTAGTCCAAGGCTGGTGGAGAACTGGGCCTAGTCTCTGCTCAGCCTTGTCCTTACACTTTTGGAAACACCTGGTGTCTAACTTCCTGCTCACAGAAAGTTCCAAAAACAAGCATGGAAGCCTGTCATAGCTAACTATATCCGATTACTTCACTGCAGGGAGCCAGGTTAGAAACAGAAAAAAGAGAATGCAAACAGTCCCAGTGGGCCTTTCTGACCCTGTTCCTCACAGTTGGGATGTAGTTATTCCTATAGCCACTCCCCCACTTCTGTGAAATACAGTGCCTTACACTGACTTTAGGATCTCTTGCTTTGAGAGTTTTTGCACCTTTTTTTTTCTTTTTTTCAAGTAAGCATTTTGGAAAGAATTGTTTTCAGATTAACAAGTTTTCTTCTGAGATAAAGAGTTTAATAAAAGATTTTGCTTACTCAAAAACTGAAAAAATTTAAAAGACTTTAAGAATGCTTAAAGGATGTATCTGTTGTGAGCATATATATTTGCTGTATAAGTACTGATGACTTTTAACTAAAATGTAATTTTCTGTTTATGAAAAGGAAAATGAACGTTTATATAGTCAAGTGAAAGATCTGCAAGAACAAAATAAGAAAAATGAGGAGCGAATGTTCAAGGAAAACCAGAGTTTATTCAGCGAGTTAGCTTCCTTAAAGTGAGTCTTTTCTGAATTCTTAAAATCAAATATACTTAGGCTATTTCTAAGCATTTTATTGTTATATTAATAATACATTTTATTTTTACTTAGAACTGAAAAAAATTTTACATTGATTTCTAGTTCATAACTTTTATAGGTTTGATATTCAATGTATTTTTCCAAAGTACAAAGTTTAGTATTTTCAGCATACTCATATTTGAGTTTTATATCAATTTTAGGAAATTGAGTATATAGTATTCATCTTGATCAGTCATTAAGCCTGAGGTGCTTAACCATCTCCTAAAGAACCATGTGATAAATAATCCAAAAAATATGATACAATGTCACTTAATGCTTTAGGTTAGGTCCTATAGAAGTAGAGCCTGAGGTAGGGATCCTTATGGAGGTGATTTCCTGGAGGATAACTGTCAGGAGAAGGGGAACAAGAGAAGGAAGATGTGAGGATGAGGGGAGGGAAGGTAAGTAAGAATGTGGTCTTAGCCAGAGACTGGCTTCATTCTGTTCTCCCCAGAAGGCTCAGGAGAACAGATTGTACCACAGAGTTGGCCCCACTTGAGGCAAGAGGAGCAGGCTTTCATACCCCCAAATTAGTCGTCACTGGAGGAGGTATGCTCCGGGAAGGGGGTAGGGGATATTCTCCAGGCCAGCGGGCAGAGGCTGCTATTGAGAAGGAGAACTAGTGAGTTATTAACCAACATTCAGCATGGCAGGCTGATGGAGCACCAGCACCTACTAAGAACCATATTTCAGACTATAAGATCTTTTGGATATTACTACATTCAGCTTTAACATACTAAGTGAAAAGGCTGAACTCACAAACATGGGCAAATTAGGGTACTGTCTTCTTTTAGGAAATGACTAATGGTTTTGTGTCACTTCATATAAACACCTAATTACTCAGAAAGGACTGCTATTAGAAGAAACTTCTTAGGCCATGAATGTATGACCCGAAGCCAGGTGTGATAAAATGCACAGTTCTGATATATGAAAGCATTATATCTGATTTCTTTCCAAATGCTTCAGTGAAAGTATTTTAAAATGCCACTTCTTCTACTGCCTGGCTTTTAAAAGAGATCTATTCCCCGATCCCAAATTGAAATTTTAAATGAATTTTCACAATGAAATACATGGTGTCTTCACTGCATTAGGATTATATGATCTTATATAGATTCCTAAATTCCTTGTATAATATTTCTGGAAAAACAAAAATTTATTCTAACTTTAGATAATAGACTATTTGGTTTTGTCAGTCTCCATGTGTATGATTTGTGTTTCTTATAGAAAGGAGTCTAGAATGATGTGGCAAGGAGGGCACATTACCAGAGGAAAAATGCAGCACATCTTTCTGGGACATAGGGTTTTTTGCCTCTGAGAATTAGGAGAAAATATTTTTTATTTTATAAATAAAGCAAGGTGTTGGGGTTTCAATTCTTTTAAATTAATCAGACATCTCAAAGTATATTAGCATTTTAATACTTTAAACTTTAGAGTAAATAAACTTTTTCTCTTCAGTGGCTCAGATAGTTCCAATGTCCATCAGGTTTTTTTAAATTTTAAGAATTGTATATTTTTCATTGAAAGGAGTACTTTGTTAAAAAAAATTTTTTTTTATTTTCAAACTAAATCAGAGAACAGATGCACAAAAGTCGTTTCCTATCTGAAATAGTTGAAGATTCAGAACCCACCAAAACCCAGAATTTTACAGATCTGTTAGCAGAGCTACGGATGGCACAGGTAAATTTCATAAGGATTTTACCTACTAGATTATTATAAAAATTTCCATATGTTAAGAAAGTCTGTTTTTTAAATTTATGAATAGATAAAATTTATTTATAAATTTCATGCCATTTAAAAATTAAGGCATACCTAAAATTAGCATTTATTATACCTGTGACCTTCATATATAAAAAATGACACAATACTGGTTTTAGATAGCATCCTCTTTATAACCCAGCTTCTCATCTAGCATTCATCACATGGAGCCGTATTGGAGGCATAACCTTACTTAGGGCATGTACACTTTATTTCAAACAAACAAATTCCTTATTGGAAATGTAGAGCTAAAATAGGAAAATAATTTAAAGATGATTATTCGCCTTAAAATGTTAGTTGGCTTTTTACCCTTCTTCAATGGACTGTGCATTTATGGAAGGCTGAGACTATCTACAAATGTTTGCATCTCACGTACCTAATGCAGATGCAAAATGAAACAGCTGCTTTGTAACGTTTTTTCTTATATTTATTTAATTGTATTATAAAGGATATAGCTTACAATTTTCTTTTTTTAGGTTTTATTTTATTTATTTTTTATATATAATTCATTGTCAAGTTAGCTAATATACAGTGTATACGGTGTACTCACGGCTTCGGGATTAGATTTCCTGTAATTCATCACTTACATATAACACCCAGCGTTCATCCCAACAAGTGCTCTCTTCAATGCCCATCACCCATTTTCCCTGCATCTTACCCCCCCGCCCCCAAACTCCCTTCTACCCTCAGTTTGTTGTCTATATTTAAGAGTCTCTTATGGTTTGCCTCCCTCTCTGTTTGTAACTATATATTTTTTTTCTTTCCATTACCCCATGGTCTTCTGTTAAGTTTCTCAACTTCCACTTACGAGTAAAAACCTATGATATCTGTCTTTCTCTGATTGACTTATTTCATGTAGCATAATACCCTCCAGTTCCATCCATGTTGTAGCAAATGGCAAGATTTCATTCTTTTTTATTGCCAAAGTAGTATTTCATTGTGTGGGTGTGTGTGTGTGTGTGTGTGTGTATATATACACACACATACATACCACAGCTTCTTTATCCATTCATTTGGGCTCTTTCCATAATTTGGCTATTGTTGATAGTACTGCTATAACCATTGGGGTACAGTGTGCCCCTGTGAATCAGCACTCCTGTATCCTTTGGATAAATTTCTAGTAGTGCTATTTCTGGGTCATAGGGTAATTCTATTTTTAATTTTTTGAGGAACCTCCACACTGTTTTCCAGAGTGGCTGCACCAGTTTGCATTCCCACCAGCAGTGCAAAATAGTTCCCCTTTCTCTGCATCGTCGTCAACGTCTGTTGTTACCTGAGTTGTTAATTTTAGCCACTCTGACCGGTGTGAGGTGGTATTTCAGTGTACTTTTGATTTGTATTTCCCTGATGATGAGCAGTGTTGAGCATCTTTTCATGTGTCTGTTAGCCATATGGTGGCTTACAATTTTCTAAAGCAGTATTTATTAATGGGAGACATTTGGGAATTTTGTCAGGTTAATTCTGTTTTAAGCAGAACAATTCCATGTGTTGCATGATTTTTATCATCCCTGTCCCCAGAAAATACATACTCATAGCACCCACCAGTGATTATAAGAATCAAAAGCACTGCCACATTTCCAAACTTGTACCCTGTGGAAGGGCAGTTAATTCTCCCCACTCCCTCCCATTGAGAACTGTATTATGAAACTAAATCTATATGAATGATTATGTGAATTAGAAAAATTCCAATTATGTACCACTTTTTAACAAGAAACTATATAAAGTTTTGTTATATAGAAATCTACACATACCCTAGGTTAATAACTGATATTTAATAGGTTTTTGAAGTATATAAAATGCAGCTGCAAATATGAATCCATTAGGGTACTTTCTTCAGGCACATGTATGCATGTATAGCATGATTAGATAGGTAGATAGTTAGGCAGATAGGTTAGAAGAAGGAATGAATGGTTGGACTCCCCCTAACTCCCTTGTCAGTAGGCCTCAAAAATTAGGAAGGTAAAAGAGAAATTATTATTGCTGTGTTTTATGAAGGCTTGGAAAAATGTGGTAAGGTTTCAAGCCTAACATTAGCTTTATTTAAACTGTTATTAGCAACTTTTTAAAAGTGCTGTTTTGAAAATATTTTTCTGAAGATAGGAAACTAAAACTGCCACTAAAAACATCAGAAAATGCTGGATAAAATATAATAAACATCTTATAAATGCATAATGTAACAGCTCTCAAGAAAGTAAGAATTCTCTAGGGGCCAGAAATGAGAAGGGATACAAACTGGTCAGTAAGCTGCTACACCAGTAGTTCAGTAGCCATGGGCTTGAGCTTTAACAGCAAAGTGGAGACAGGACACTCAGATTTCAAAGAGCCATGTCCTTCAGTATAACAGTGGACTAGGAAAAAAATCCACCCACCTTCACAAGGGGCTAAGATGTCAAGAAGCTTTTCTTGTAAGAAGTTTCTGTCTTAACTTGATTGGTCAATATAATGTCATCCGTCTGCCTTCATTTGTGTTATAGTATTTGAATTGACACTACCTGCAAGGGTTAGTAATGCTCAGACTGAAAAAAAACAAAACCAAACCATATAATGTGGTCCTGAGTCAGTGAGAACCTCCAGTGTGTCTAGAAGAAACAAATGCAGAAAGCTCTTAGAAGTATACAACCTTAACCCAGCTTACACAGTATTTCTACAGATAAAAACCTGCTGATGATATGCTCACAATGCAAAATTACAAAAACACGGAGAAACTATCCACAATCGCACAATGATTTAATAAACAGCAGTTTTTGAACCTCAATAGAATTATTGGATAAACATATAAATAGACTAAAAATGGAGAATATCAGATATATGAAATGCTAAAATATATTTAAATATATTATGGCTGAGAATTTCCCAGAAATAATAAAAAAAAGATGAATTCTCAAATTTAGGAAACCCAGTGATTCCTGCTCAGGATAAAGTAAAAATCACCATCTAGGCCCCTGATGGTGAAACTACCAAAGGCAGGAAAAACCTAAAAAGAAATTAACAACAACAACAAAAGAGTGTTAGTTTAAGATAATAGTAAAAACTTTGAGGATTTTTTTATTTCTGAAAATATTGTAAGATTGAATGTAAATATACCTTTTATTTTCATTTGCTATGGTATTCTGGGTTTAGATGGTTTTAGAGCAAAATTTCATACTGGGATAAATCTATAATATTCACATTGAGTATACTTGTGTAAAGTCTAATTCGTACCTTAAAAATTAATAGCAATTATTGAGTTGGTTCTCTATAAAGCATAGATAGAAGCATAGTAAAAGCAAAGGTTCTGAGCTCTTTCTTTTTAGTATCCCAAGGTAGGAAGAAGAATGAAGCTGACCACAACTTACTCACTGAGTCGTCCTTTATGAAGCACCTGCCACATGCCAGGCACTCATTCTGGCATTGTAAATACAATAGGTAAACAAGACAGGCACAAACCTTGCTCACTAGGACATGTATTCCAGCAGGGAAGACAGACAGTAAGGTAACAAATGAAGCAATATACATAGAAATTTGTGCTTTGAAGAATATTAAAATTAGAGAATAAGGGTGCGTGGGGCAGAGAGTAAGGCACCAGTCAATAGTGCTCTAGGAGACACTCTGAAAAAGTTTTGTCAGAGTTGAGAGCTAAAGAGAAGCAGCAGCCACTGGACAAAGATGGAGCCTCCCAACCAGGAGAAAAGCATAAACCTTGCATCAGGAAGGGGCTTGTTACTTTCCAGAGTCAGAGACCTCTGAGACAGAAGTGGGTGAGTAAGGACAAGGCCAGAGAGGCAGGCAAAGACCCTCTCTGAATGTCTGCATTGTAATTTACAAGAGAATTAAAGTACTTGCCAGCCACAAATCCTGTGCCCACAGGGTTGACCTGGGACATTACTGGCCTTCTTCAGGGTAAGAAGTGTCAGTCCCTGGAAGGATGCAAGCATGAAGTATCATTTGTTTAAGTGTCAAATGTTTAACTGAACTCAAGATGTTTAAAGTTCCTTTGAATGCTAAAACTCTGTAAGTCCATTTAGTACACTCCACTGGAGAGCATTTCTAAATGATTGAACTAATTAAACAGAAGGTAGTTGCAGAAAGATGCCTGAGCATTCAAATACTTGAAACTCAGTGCTCTCCTGAAAAGACATCTACAGAGGATCACAAAGATTGAACAATGAAATTATGCCATTAAATCTGTGATGCAGTTAGAAACCAGGATTATACAGTGCTTTAATGAATGGCTTTATTTTCTTCACAAGACTGCATTTGGGATTATAAAATAGGGAGATACAGAATTTGTTTTATTTTGAAACTTAAGTACACCAAGTGTACTTCTGTGACTCCAAGAACTTTTTTTTTTTTTAGCAGTTATGAGTTCAGTCCAATAAACATTTATTGAGTACCAGCTGTGTGGTTAGTGCCGTAAAGTATACAGGTATTAGTAGTAAGTCAGTCTTAGTCTCCATAGAGTTCTCAGCCTAATAACAAGAAGAGGTATGTACACAAATCAATATCATATGACACAGTAATAAATACTATACTAGAGGTACAACACAAGTTTATGGGAGCACAGAGGAAGAGATTATCAGGAATAGCCTCATTTGAACTGTGCTTTGAAGGATTAAGTATGATTGTGTCGAGATGAATGGGGGCTATTGAGAGTAGTGTTGAATGTAAGGCATATTTAGCATTCAGTCAACCTTTTTTATGTGCCAGGCATTTTTTTATGTGTTTTTTTCATGCAAAAATGAGTAAAATCTCTGCTTTCAAGTAAACGTATGTCAGGTGGTAGTGATGAGTTCTGTGACAAGAAAATAAAGCAACATACTCGGGGGTTAGGATGAAAGTTTTTGTTTTAGCAAAAGTAATCAGGAAAGATCCTCCTGGGGTTTCATTTGGGCAGAAATCCTGATGAAGTAAAAGAGTGAGCCCCCTGGCTATCTGGGAGCAGAACACTAAAGGCAGAGGAAACAGTAAGTGCAAACACCTTGGAGTGAGAGTGTGCTGGTTATGTTCAAATAACAGCTAGAAGTCTCTGATGCTGGACTGGAGTGGGAAGAGGAAGATTTATAGTAGATATGCTCAGAGGCATGGGCAGGGCTGGGTTACATGACACTGAATATCATGGTAAGGACTTTGGATTTATCCTGAGAGGAATGGGAGCCACCAGAGAATTTCAGACAGAGGAGAAAAACTCACCATCTCTTTAAAACAATTCCTCTCTTGAATAGAGAGTTCATGAAAGTATCCACACATATGTGGTCAATCCAAGACAGAGGAGGCAAGAATGTAAAATAGAGAAAGGATAATCTGTTCAATAAATAGTATTGGGAAAACTGGACAGATACATACCAAAGAATGAAAGTGGACTACTGTCTTAAACCATATATAAAAATAAATTCAAAATGGAGTAAAGACTTGAATATAGGACCTGAGACCATAAAACTCCCAAAAGAAACCATAGACAATAAGCTCTTGGACATTGATCTTAGCTTTTTTTTCAAACCAGTCGCCTCAGGCAAAGCCAACAAAATCTAAAACAAATGGGAATATATCAAACTAAAAAGCTTTTGCACAGTGAAGGAAGCCATAAACAAAATGAAAAGGCAGTCTACAGAATGGAAGAAGATACTCGTAAGTGATATATCTGATAAGATATTAATATCCAAAATGTATGAAGGATTTATACAAATTAATACCAAAAACACAACATGATTAATAACAGCCAGAGGACTTGAGTAGACATTTTTCCAAAGATATAGAAATGACCAGCAGACACATGAAAGTATGCTGAACATCTCTAATCATCAGGGAAATGCAAGTCAAAACCACAGTGAGATATCACCTCACACCTGTAAGGTTCACTATTGTCAAAAAGACAAAAAATAACAAGTGTTGGTGGGGTTGTGGAGAAAAGGGAACCCTCATATACTGTTGGTGGGAATGTAAATTGGTGCAGCCAATATAGAAAACAGAATGAAGGATTCTCAAAAAATCAAAAATAGAACTGTATGATACAGTAATTCCATTTCTGGGTATTAATCCAAAGAAGACAGAAACATCAATCTGAAGAGATAATCACCCCTATGTTCCTTCCAGCATAAAATACCCAAGATATGGAAGCAATGTAAGCATCCAGTGATAGATAAACACACTGGACATTACTCAGCCATAAAAAAGGATGAGATCTTGTCATTTGTGACAGCATGGGTGGATCTAGAGGGTATTGTGCTAAGTGAAATAAGAAGAAAACAAATACCATATGATTTCATTTATATGTGACATAAACGAGACTCATAGGTACAGGGAACAAACTGTTGGTTACCAGAAGCAGTGGTGGGGAGATTGGAGGGCAGGTGAAATAGGTAAAGGGGATTAAGAGATATAAACTACTAGTTATAAAATAAGACACATGGATATAATATACAGCATAGGGGATATAGCCAATAATATTGTAATAATTTTGTGTGATGACACATCATAACTTAGGACAGATCCTCGACTTATTTTGGGGATTATTTCATAATGTATAAAAATAACAAATCACCATGATGCACACCTGAAACTAATAGGATATTTATTGTATATATGTATTTATAAAAAATATGTATGAGTATTTATGATAGGTGGGGTGAAACAGAGCCTATGCCACAACTTTTTGCATCCAGAAATAATTTGCTTTTGTAATTCTATGAATATCAAGAAAGAAAAAAACTGTTTATTGGAAGACATCAAAAGACTGAAGCAAGACAAACAAGCTCTTGAAGTAGACTTGGAAAAAATGAAGAAAGAGAGAGACCAAGCCAAAGATCAGATTGCTTATGCCACAGGTAAAACGCTGAGCTTAAACAGTTTACCTTTATACTCGTAACTGTTTTAATCTTGAATTTAAGTAATAGCAGTTGCTATTACTACTCAAGGAATCAAAATCCTACTTCTTGAAGTATATTGTAGTTTTAGAAACTTTAAAAAAAAAGTTATTAATAGGTGGGTTAGTTGGTTTTGGCAGGACTAATTGCAGGATCAGAGAATATCAAGGATTGTTTTGAATTTGTGGCATATTATGTCTATTCATTTTCATGTCTGTGACCTTCCTGAGGGTATGGTCTGCCTTTTTATCCCTGGGTCTGAAAGAAAGGCTCTTAAGTATTTGCCAAATGAACAAATAACACTACACCTATGTTTATAGAAAACACAAGGATAAATGTGACATTCCCCATCAGGGAAAACAAGGGAAAATAAGAATGCAGAAAAGTTTAATATAAAAAAAAAAAATACAAATAACATGAGACATGGTACTAAATAGGGATTTCAGGGAAGAGTAGCATTTGAGCCGGGTCCTGACAGGTTGAAAGACTCAGAAGTGAAGGAATGAAGGGAGGTTGTTGGAGTGTGCTTGCTTCATGAGCATATATCGAGTGCACCTGTGGATTGGAGTTTAGGATGACAGAACACAGGACTAGAAAAGTAGATCCGAAGAGTCCTTGTAAGATCTCTCCACTGTGATACCATGATCTTCACTGTGAGATATACACCACCTGTTTGTAAGAAAATTATATTTAGTCTCCTCATCTGTAAAATATAATAATAACAATACCCATCATATGTTTGTTGTGTTAAATGAAATCCTGTATGGTAAGCACTCTCTAATGTTTCCCATTGCAATTTATTAATATAGTTATAGGAATTCTTCATGTTTATTATCTCTTGGATCCAACATTTATTGTCCCATGGAAATGACTTTGCTTTTATAATGAAAGTCAGTGGGAAAACAATTGATTTATCAAAAAAAAATTATACACAGCCAACTTTGCTATGAATTTGAGGAGTTGGACTATGAGGAGTTGGACTATGAACACAATGTTCATCTCTCTTTATTAACAGATTAAACTGGATACTGCCTTGCAAAGACTAATTTTTTTTTTTGCCTATTTTTTCATAATGCTTTCATTAGATTGGCATTGGTTTCTATGTAATTTAATTTATTTCCATATTTTGGGAAATTATAATCAAGTTCAGGAGTTCATCTTATAGGAGTTTCATCCTATAGGTGAAAAATTATATGAAATAAAAATTTTAGAAGAAACACATAAACAAGAAATCAGTCGCCTGCAAAAAAGATTACAATGGTATGCTGAAAATCAGGAACTTCTGGATAAAGATGCATTTCGGCTTAAAGAAGCAAATGAAGAAATTGAGAAGCTCAAACTTGCGGTAATAAGATCATTTGAGAATGTATTTCTGTAGATGTACCCCATTCAACAATTAGTTCTTCTTAGCCTTGTAAGTGTGATTAAATCAGTACTATAAACTCTGCCAATTAAAATAGATGGTTTGGGTTTGCTCACAGATGTGTAGTCTGTTTTAGAATAGACTGAGAATAAATCCAAGCTCCTTATCACAACCTGTCAGGTCCCTGTATGGTCTGAACCCTGCCTGCCTGTCTCTCCAGCCTCATCTGTATAACACTCCACAAGTCACTGTCCTGCAGCCACATCAAAACTCTCTCTGATTCTTGAACATGCCAAGCTTGTTCCACCGGTTGCCTTCACTCGATTACTCTGGCCTATGTTCTTCCATGTCTCACTCCTCATTCAAGTCTCAGCTCCAAATTCTACTCCTTAGAAAGACCTTTCCTGATCTTGTAATCTAATGGAGCTACCAATCCTGCCCTCTTCTGACCCTTTCACTCTATTTTCTTCTTTTTTTTAAGTGTTTATTTATTTTGAGAGAGAGAGAGCATGCACATGCAGGCATGTGCACAAATGGGAAGAGCAGAGAGGGAGGGAGAGAGAGAATCCCAAGCAGGCTTCACACTACCAGCACAGAGCCCATCGCAGGGCTCAGTCTCATGAACCTGAGATTATGACCTGAGCAGAAATCAAGAGTTGGATGCTTAACCGACTGAGCCACCCAGGCGCCCCTGTTTTATTTTCTTCATAGCATTTGTCACTCTCTGAAGTTATTTTATTTACTTGTTCATTTACTTTATTAGCTTATCATGTGTCTCCTCCATCAGAGTGCAAGCCCTGTTAAAGCGGGGACCTGGCTTATCTTGTTTGCCCTTCGTGTCTCCAGCGCAGCACCCTATCTGGGAATTAATAAATGAATGAATGACCTACCATTATGCTTCTTTCCTGGTGTTTCTCTGGTATGTTTTAAATATGCTTAACAGGTTCTTTACTTATTGACAGGTTGAGAAACTGAAAGCTGAATCTGGAAATCCATGTATTCAGCAGAAGATACGTTTAAAAGAGAAAGCAGCTGATGCCAAAAAAATTCAAGACCTAGAGCGACAAGTATGTGTTCAGGGTAAATTTTCATTAGGGCATTTTTTATACAGAGAATTTTTGTTTTCTGCTATTTCAGTAGTTCCTAAAAAACATAGTCAACCTGAAAATTCATACTTTTATTCATTTATTTTAATATAGAACTGCCCTCTAAATATTCTTTATATATAATATTTAAAGTGACAGCCATAAAAGTAGTAAACAACATCATTTTGTACAACCTGTGGCTTTATACATGAAGAATTTTTAGGCTGCTGTGCCTCATTTGATGGTAGACCTATGGATGAAAGGTTATTTTCATTCCAGCTCTATTAGATATCTAGAAAGAAGGAAGCAGAATTTTAAAACTCTGGGTATAGAATTAGGATTCCTTCTCCTCATAAAAGTTTGGTGAGAGAGGAGTACAGGAAAGGAGACTTTTAAATTGGGAACATGTTAGAAGTGCTTGAGAAGTTGCAAACACCCTGGAAATAAATGGAACATTTAGCCTTCCAAAAAGCTCCGTCATTTTGAGTTCTTGCTCACCGTCAAGCTTAGAAGTATTCATTTTATGGTCAGTGTAGCTGGGAGACCTTTTCAAAAATTATGTTGTAATGCTTATTAGGATAAAGATTTTTTTCATTAAAGTAGTTATATGTGGGGTGGAATATTAACTTTTTCCTTTTGTTTTTAAAACTCTGTAATTTAGTATTTGTATTCATAACTCAATTATTAAAACGAAAGAAGGATTTCCAGCCCTGTGCATAAGGGAGCATAATTCTATAGTCAAGTCATGATACTTAAATATACAGTTATTATTCCATCACAAACCCAAAACTGTGAGGTCATCACTGGGCTCAATATTACCCCAGTTTTCTGAGAGAAGGAAAACTAAAAAATTAGCTTTTGTTACTTTTACAGGACCTGTTCTTATAGTAAAAGGTATGGTCGGTAACTTGGCTTAGTAGCCAGGAGAGGAATAGGACAGAGGTATTTTAAAGAGTTAGAAGTATTCTGAAATAAGTATAGTACAGGATTGCTTGCCTATTTTTCAGTGCTTTTGATTTAGATTAGCTAATGTAGACGAAGCCATCCAGAATTGTGAGAGAGAAAAGACCAAAGCAACTACTTCCCTATTTGATGACTTTAAGAGAAATAATTTAGAAAGTTATTTTATTTACTTGTTGATTTACTTTATTAGTTTCTCTCCTCCATTGGAGTACAAGTGCTGTTAAAGCAAGGATCTGGCTTATCTTGTTTGCCTTCTGTATCTCCAGTGCAGCGCCATATCTGGGAATTAATAAATGAATGCAGAACTAAATGTATCAGAGTGAAAACAAATGAAGCATGCTTAAAAGCAAAATTAAGACTTGAAATGGTAAATCATATTGACTAGAAATATAGCACTGAATACAAGTTATTTTCCTCTTTTATTAATGCTTTCATTAAGGGGTGCCTGGGTGGCTCAGTTGGTTAAGTACAAACTTCGGCTCAGGTCATGATCTCACAGTTTGTGAGTTCGAGCCCCGTGTCAGGCTCTGTGCTGACAGCTCAGACCCTGGAGCCTGCTTCAGATCCTGTGTCTCCCTCTCTTTCTGCCCGTCCCCCACTCACACTCTCTCAAAAATAAAAAAAATAGGGGCGCCTGGGTGGCTCAGTCGGTTGAGCAACCGACTTCAGCTCAGGTCATGATCTCGCAGTCTGTGAGTTCGAGCCCCGCGTCGGGCTCTGCGCTGACAGCTCAGAGCCTGGAACCTGCTTTGGATTCTGTGTCCCCCCTCTCTCTCTGCCCCTCCCCTGCTCATGCTCTGTCTCTCTCTCTCTCTCTCTCTCTCTCTCTCTGTCAAAAATAAACATTAAAAAATTAAAAAAATAAATAAAAAAAAATAAAATAAAAAAATGCTTTTGTTAAAAAATGTATTGGCTTACCATTTTAGACTATATCTTTCTAAAATATTGTTTATTAATAATATTTTGTATAGTTTACTGTGTGTACATTTCGGATCTTACTCTGTTCCCATGAACATTTCCATCCTAATGATTTTAAACCTTACTATATATTTATTGTTTTAATGTTTATTTATTTTTGAGAGAGAGAAGAAGAAAGAGAGAGAGTGGGGAGGGTCAGAAAGGGAGGAAGAGAGAATCCCAAGCAGGCTCTATGCCGTCAGCACAGAGCCTGACAAGGGGCTCAAACTCACAAACTGTGAGATCATGACCTGAGCCAAAGTCAGAGGCTTAACCGACTGAGCCACCCAGGTGCCCCTAAACCTTAATATATATTTTAAAGTAAAGGTATATCAAGTGTATTCAGAATCATTTTGGAGCCATATTCTGAAATAGGTTAATTCTAGAATAAAATATCTCATTTTCTAAAAGTTCATAATTAAAAATGGGGCCAATTAATTAGATGCCTGTTATAATGAAAATTTCAGATTATGTGCATTTTTTAATTCATACTTTTATTTAATGGAATATTTCATAGTTTAATTTCCAATGAGAATTTTTGAAAAAGCAGTTACTTTTGTGTATGACAGCCACACTGGTATCAGTGACCAGCATTTACTCATATCAATGACCGAAGAAAAATATTAAAAAGCAAAATTAAAGAAAATATAAAGTAAAATCTAATTTTCCCCAAAAATGTAATAAGTACTTCAAGATATCAAAATTAGGTTGAAATATTTCTTAAAATTTTAAATGAATGCATTAATTATAAATATGTTAAAACATTCTTTTTTTTTTTCTTTTATTTTTACATTCAAGTTAGCATATAGTGCAATAATGATTTCAGGAGTAGAATCCAGTGATTCATCACCTACATATAACACCAAGTGCTCATCCCAACTGTCTTCCTTAATTCCTGTTGCCCATTTAGCCCATCCACCCACCCATAACCTCTCCAACAACCCTCCATTTTTTCTCTATATTTAAAAGTCTCTTAAAAACATTCATTTTTTAAAAATCTAGTTCTTCTCTTTTCAGTATACATTTTGTATATGTGTATGTATGTACCTTTGTATGCTTAGATCTACTTCAAATAACTAGATTTTTAATACCGGAGAAAGCAAAACTTTGAAAATGTCACAATTGAAGTTATCAATATTTGTATCTGGATATATTTCAATTTATGGTGCATATATGAAAGTGCAAGCAGTCTTCATGACTGGAAATATTTACTATAAATGTTGCAAATGATGAACAATATTCAATGCCTAACATGAACAATATTCAAGTTATATATAGGATTTTAAGTACCAGCAATGCATCTTGCCTTAGTGGGGGTAGTTTTTGAGACCAGATCATAATAAAAGCCAACATTATCAAGCCCTCACTGTATACTGGGTGTTCTGCTAAGTACTTTACCAAGGTAAATGTCATTTGATCCTCACTTAAGTGTGCCAATGCCATGAAATTGGTATTGTCATTCCCATTTTACCAGTGAGGCAAAAGAAATGTAGATTGAGGAGTAGACACAGGTCATAAAGCTGGTGGCACAATCTGAACTCCAAACAAGCTCTACCCAGTGCACTAGACTGCCTCTCAGGTGCTGTTTTATTTTATTGTATGTTCAGAGGTAGAAAACTATTCAATAAAGAATTTAGTATTTTAATATATGTTTTTCAAACACATCTAAACTGTAATTTAACAAAAACAGGTATAAACATATGTACATATATAATATCAAGCTTTAATTTCTGTAGACCCTGGTACAGTTCTTTCTCACAAAAAGACCATAAAATATGTTATTGCTTAATAGACTAAATGAAAAGTAGTGTTTTGTGAAGACTTCATTAAATATCATCTAATCCTCCTTGCTTTCTAATTGAAAGAAGTAACTGTAATTTTAAAAATAGATTAAACTTGGGGCGCCTTGGTGCCTCAGTCGGTTAGACGTCTGACTTCGGCTCAGGTCATGACCTCACAGTTTGTGAGTTTGAGTCCCGTGTCGGGCTCTGTGCTGACAGCTCAGAGCCTGGAGCCTGCTTCAGATTCTGTGTCTCTCTCTCTCTCTCTGCCCTCCCCTGCTCGTGCTCTATCTCTCTGTCTCTCTCTCAAAAAATAAACAATACCAACACAACAGAAATAAAAGCAATAATAAGAGAATATTATGAGCAATTATATGCCAATAAAATGGGTAATCTGGAAGAAATGGACAAATTCCTAGAAACATATACACTACCAA